ATGGGTTGATCAGCGCACAGTTAGCCAATTAGCGCTCTAAAACAAAGTAAAGATCGTGAAATTCCAAAAAAAAAAAAAACATTCATTCAAGTCTCACCATATGGTGGACCGGTTGGGTACGTGGCGTATTCTGAGGGTGTTGAGATCCATGTTTCTGTGGGATGATCAGGCTGCATAGGAGGACTTATATGCGCATCACATACAAAGTATATTCATTACTTCTCGGGAGGTCGAGTGCATGGCGCAATCCTAGATGGAGCTCTTTCAGAAATTGAATTTAACCATCTTGTAGATCTCGAGCAGAGCTATCAGATGGTATAAACTGCAGGTCGAGCGAACCATTTTTTAAAGAGTTATGGCGAGCCGACGGTTTGCGACGGTTTCCGACCGTCGCAAACCGTCGATTGAACAAAAATTAGTAGCGGTATTGTAAGTGTCAGGATCCCAGCTTGCTTTGCCTGATTTCATCTTCTTCATGGCCGTGATGGTCTCCTCCACGGTTATCTTCTGAACGGGACCGTGTACTGGCGGAGCGCAGGGGATGGCGGGATGAGTAAATTCGACTGTTGAGATGTTTTCGAAGTAGTCACGCCATCGTTTCAGTGTTTTCTTGCGGTCCGTTAAGAGGTGGCCATTCTCGTCATTTATGCCGAAGAATTTTTCTATATCCTCGGTCTGGCGATGGCGGGTCTTTGCAAGTCGGTAAACGTACCGCTCTCCATCGCGCGACTCGAGTTTCTTACTGATATCAGCAAAATGAGCTGCTTTCGCAGAAGCAACGGCCTTCTTTGCCTCTTTCTTCGCTATCTGATAGCTCCGCCAGTTCTCAGCTGTCTTTTCGTGAAGAAATGCGTGTACCGCTTCTTCTTTTCGCGCACTTTCTCTCTGACCTGGTCCGTCCACAGCCACGTTTGCTTGTCAATTCTCCGCCGCCCCGGCTTCGTCATCCCGAGCTCGGATCGAGCTATCCGAGTTATTTCTTTCGGCAGCACCTTTCCAGGTTTCGTCGACAGTCGTTACCGCTGGTAATTGAATGCGGGTAATGACGGCCGCTTCTTTTTCCTTCAGTCGCCACCACTTGATTCTCGCTGGCCCACACCTTTCAGTTAGTTTCGGTTTTGGCGGGGCGATCTTTAGCGTACAAATTAGTGGTCGGTGTTGCGTGGCGACCGTTTCATAAGGCACTGTTTTCGCGTCTGTTACGAGTCCTTGGTCGCGGCGCCTGACAAGTACGAAATCAATTTGTGTTCTAGTGTTACCGCTATAGAAGGTGATGAGATGTGAGTCGCGTTTTCGGAATTTCGTGTTCACAATGGCGAGGTTGTGCGAGTCTGCATACTCGAGAATTCGCTCGCCATCGGTGTTACGTAACCCATATCCAAAACCACCGTGACAGCTGTAACCGTCTTTCGTAGCGCCAACGTGCCCATTGAGGTCACCTGCGACAATTATAGCTTCTTGTGACGGAACCTCAGCTGTCTTCTCATCAAGCAGATTCCAGAACTTATCTTTGGCTTGTTCGGAGCATCCGGTCTGCGGAGCGTACGCTGAGAAGAAGTGGTATTTTCGTTGTTCAATGACGACAATGATTTTCATTAATCGGTCGTCGAAGCGCTCCACGTTTACTATCGAATCACGAAAGCGTTCAGAGACAATCATCCCGACGCCATTGGTGGTTTTGGGACCGCCACAGAGAACGGCTTTGAAGCCGCGGCCAATGTCCCTCGACTTGCAGCAGGACCACCTCGTTTCCTGCACGGCACAGAAGTCTATTCGTCGGCGCTCTAGCGCTTCTGCCAGCTCGCTGGAGCGGCCCGTCAACGTGCCAACATTTAATGTTGCAACGCGGGTCTTCGATACGTTGCATGGCTTTTGGACTAGCCTAGTTGCCCCCCGATGCCGTCCTTGCACCGGAGACCCTCGCATACTTTTCACACTCGCCGGGCTTTGCGAGTGCGCGTCGGCTCCCGCGGACGCCGTAGCATTATCTCGAAATTCATATGGCGACATTAACATTTGTGATGTGACGTGGGTGTTCGTAGGCCGGCCTGTCACGAGGGCCTGTCGCCTGCATTAACGTACTGTCCGTGGTCGGCACTCACAAACGTAGAGCACTTTCACAGTGGCACGCACCTTGGAGGAACGAGACAACGCCTACACGCTTTTAACAGGATCTCCTTTCCTTTCTTTCTTTACTAGCGCCGGTCCCAGCATCGCACTAATGTGAGCATTCGCATTCGGTGAAAGCCCACAAATGTGATATTCCTGAGCAATGCCTTAATGTGCACAAGTCAGGACGAATCTAACATAATATTAAACGACATATTAATTTCTGGCTGAATGGTAAACGTGGCCAAGCGGCGCACATCCTAAGTTGTACGTCGTCCGGCACGACCAAGCCTTCCCTCCCTCAAAATAAGCTAATTGGTTTCAGACTTGTCTAAGTGGATAAAAACGCTGACTTGTACATCGGCTGGCCCCCGTGAGTCATTCTATAGGTCAAATCGCATTCAAATACCATTACGAATCTGTGCCGTATCTCAAAAAATGAATTGACAACGGTAAATGCTTTATCCCTTATACTATTTTCTGTGGCGCAATTAGAACCATTCTACAGCTAATTTGTGAAAGTTATTTAGTAATCGATTCATTTTTAACTTGTAATTTATATGACAGCCATTTTCCCATCAAAGTGTTCTTTCTCCCAACCAGGGTCAACCGTCCGTTCGCACTATTCGAACGAGGGGTCGCATTTGTGATTTCGGGAAGAGGGGGTCGCATTTTGGGGTTGAGCGAGGTTAATGATCTCTGGAGAATTGTGAATGGTGGTTGTTAAAAGGATTGGCGGGTGCCATTCAAATGGGTTTTTTTTTAGGAATTTGGTGGGCGTTATACGAGAGTGGTAGTGAATTAGACAAAATAATTGGAGGATTTGCCACTATATTATACCAATTTACCCACTCCCCCTGAAGGTGGTGAGGGGTCGCATCGAGACCCCCTAGAGGGGAGGGGTCGCAAAAATTTTGAAGAAGTGCGAACGTGACGATTGACCCTGCTCCCAACTTTCATTCAGCCCGCTCCATTGAGCGCTTCTTTATGAGTGGGCCCTTCAGATGATTCGGCAATTGAGATAAGTAAGTGAATTTTCTTTTTCTTTTCAGCAAACCTGTCTCGCATCCATCATACAAAAGACTAGCCCACAGCTTTTCGAAGCAAGAAAATTACTCCGGTCCCAGTAATTGCTACACCAGGAAAATAATGTTACCGTAACAGCTCCTACGCGCAGAAACATACACACACATCACATGAAATATCATTTATTAGTCCTATTTGTCTCTACACAATCACCAAAGTAACCACCACGATCGTGTCCGCTTTCCTTTTGCGTCTTTCTCGAGATCACGTAAAAACCTTTCAGCATAACGTTGCACACGAGGTTCTTCAGACTTGCTTACTAACACGGCTTTCCTGGCCCACTCGAGAGCTTCGTCCTATAAAAAGACGTTTTTTGACCAGCAACAGGAAAAAAATTTCCGGAACACAACCAATTTCTTCAGAATTGCTCTTCACAAGAAGAAATACAAAAATCATGGTTTTCAATGGTACATACGAACTAAAAAAAGGTTCGAGAAAAAATAACAAGCGCCTCGAATTCATCACTTTATATGCATAAGGAGTCACATAGCGAAAATTAGACGAAAATTTGAATTTGAATCCCAAACTCCTGAAAGCCTAAAAGACCCTCACCTTTCTTCCAACATGGAAAAGAGCTTCAGCATAATTGCAGTAATAGCCAGAGATCATGCTGGCACATTCATTCACAAATAATATCCGTTCGATACCGATTGAAAGATACTTCACCGCCAATTCAAACCTTGAGAAAAACTATTGGTGGCCGATAGATCGCGCTAAACTAAAAACCAACTAACCTATTCCTAAGGATAAGGGCAGCACCAAAGTTATTGAGCAGGTTGATCGTATGAAATGAGCTGGCTCCATAAATCTGATAACAGATCTAAACGTATATACCAAACAATTCCTAATTTACTACTACATAAGAATGAAAGGGCACTCACCTTCATTACTTCATCCATATACTCTTCTGCTTCACGTAATCGATTCTCGTCACGATAAGTTATCTGATTTATCATGTTATAATCACTACAAATAGTAAGCAGACCTCAATAAATCAACTCACCAGGAAATGCGCATATCTTTCTAAACACATGCCGAACAGAGCAAGAGGATCTGTGTAAACTCCTCCTTGGGTGTCAACCACGTGTCTATCTTCTATGAGCGCACCGTGCGCTACACTATGGCTCTTCATGTGCTCATCAACTGCCTAAAAATAAGAACTCTGGTCGACCAACGAAATTTCCACCAAAACAAAAAAACCAATCAGCATTCTAAGAAACCGCTGCTTGCCAATAAAGATCCAACCTGCATCTGCTTACGAACGCAATGAGAAAACCCTGTCTCGGCATCATCGAGCTGTCCTTTTTGTGCAAAAATATCTGCTAATTTCAAGGACACACCGATGAACTCAGGATCACTGTCGCGCTTTCCGTGTAAGCCAATCAAACTGCAAAAACACTTTCAAAAGATTCTACAAGCATGAGCAGAAATAAGAACCAACCGATTAATTACAATTTGAAAATATTTGATGGCTTCCTCATGACTGCCCATCTCATAGTAGGTGTTGGCTAACTCATCATAAATTCTAAAAGTCGTACTTTAGAAGAGTTCGAATCAAAATGAGGACCAAAGGAACACCCATTTCTGCTTTCGACATGAGCACCTGAAGGTTATGAACAAATCCAAAAACTGACCGAGTTATTGGTAAAGTCTCTTTGCGTTCTTCAGCTTCCTCCAAAGCAATCTCTAAAACCTGAACTGCTTCCGTATACCGGCCATATTTTCGATGCAGCCATGACTAAACAAATTGATCAAAAACAGTCGCAATATGGTGTAATGAGTCAGAAAATACCTGCTTGACTTTCTCCTTCAGTGGATCCTTGTCTAGCTTTACAGGTTTAATGCCTAACATATCCTTCAAAGTGACAAACCAGGAGAGCCCAAGTAAAGGAGCACCTGATGCATACCACCATCGCCTCCTGCAAAGCAACATTGAAAGCTGTTTAAAAAATTAGAAGCTGCGGGTGATTATTTCTTGGCAAAAGAAGCGGCTTAAAACGAGGGATTACGATAAGATTGGGTTGGATTTACAGTGGAAACAGGGACGCTGAGAAGTGGCGAAAAAAGCAGAAAAATTTAATAAGAACACGCAAAATGGGACCCCTTTTTTGCCCGTTGACCTCCGATAATGGACGAGGGAGCAACCAACTGAGGTTGCGCGCCTTTACGGAAGTGGTCACGGAAATTCCTATGGAGACGATAGGGAAAGTGACATAGTGGATTGGGTAGGGTCCTACCCAATGGGACGACAGGTGACGCTTCAGGGGCAGTGGCGCCTTATCAACGGCGTGATAAGGCGCCGAAACCCACTTCCGGTTCGGCGTTACACCTCCTTATCAGACGTGGAAGGGGATGCAACAGCAGCGTGCTAGATATGATACGGTTATCGTTATCGTTCGATTTTCATGCTGGAGTGCACCTCATTCTATGCAGCCGTATCTTCTTATCTATCTTGTCGTATCTTCCACAAAGTATCTATCTATATATGTATCTTGTCGTGTCTTCCATAAAGTTACGCTTGTCCAACCACTATCTATCTCCGACCTTATCGGTTGATAACGCGGAGTTCGATCCACGTGGAAGCCAGCGTGACCGCTTCCTTTAACCCATTAGCCACCATCGTGACAACAAACTTCATGCCGATTCATGCCTAGCGCCTACACAGAAAACTTATAGGATGCGACCCCGCTTTCAAAATATAGTCTAACGACGCTGCTGCTGGCAGCACACGGTGTGTGGGGCCCAGGTGGAGGTGGAGTTTCGAAAGGATGGCCAGCCTCTGCGACTACCGCACCTTAGGCCAAGATTATAACACATCTCGTTTCCTTTGGTTTCTAACGACTGCATCCACTGGTGCATGTACTTCCTTGCAGCACACGCCCTTTAAATCCCTAGCTTAGCTGAGTTTGAGGGGCAACTTCTTTAGTAAGTATGGTGGAGCCGTCCTATAAAGTGGTAGATTTAGCGTTCTCGTAGTGTAAATGTGCGCGACAGTGACGCCAAAGTAGATAGTCGAGGATTAACCGTTAACATCATGAAGAATTTAAAAGTTATCCTCAAATCAGTTGAGAGATTGTGCTTTTATTATTTCCATTCTACTCTCATTACTTCCAAAAACAAGCTGCTGACCTCCCCTCCCCCTTATGGCAAGATACGACTCCCTTAACCCCACTGAGAATCCCTTAACAGCACGATGTAGCCCTAAACCTACAAAATTGACAAGCACTGTTCAACCCACAAACATGCATGTAAAGCGAACGCAGCTTCGCGCATAGTCTGACAGTGGCCTATGGATCATCGCTTTTCCGCTTAGGTCGGAGCATGTGTCAATGAAACTCAACAATAAAAGTAAAAATGAAGAGAGATGTTTGATTGAAAACAAATGAAAAAAATAGAATTGAGCTGAATCTAACCCTTTCGACCTGTGACTGCTGAGAATCTTCATAGTTCGCTTTTCTGTAATCCTCACTGCTGTTGCGCGCTCGTGATTTGCCTGGCTCTGCAAGTGAGGAAGCACTTCTGCTAGACATGCATCTGTGCACATTGTGCGCCAGCCTCACACAGAATCTCGCGCGCATCGATGGTAACATCTCAAATTCAGCATAGACTGTTATTACAAAGAATTTTAACGTCAGAACGGGCCGACACCAATCTAGTCCAAACGAAGGGAACAAGGAGCGCAACAAATACTGCCAACGTGTAGTTGGATATATGGTGACTAAAATCAATAAGGACTGCAAAACCTTAAAAGCGACGCCCTTCAAGTGATTAAGAGCGAAGCCATTTTAAGGGTTGTAAAGAAATTGTTGTTTCTACATTACTTGCCTTTTATAGTATACCCTAATGACACCGACTACAGCACCTAAGTATAAACCGGAATATAAGCGAGCATACATTATACGAAATTTAGTCCACGAACGCGACCCAGGGTCAACCCTACGTTGTTACGAGTAACAACGGGGGGTCGTACTCAGTTGAGCTTGGAGGGGGGGGGTCGTACCCTCTCGGTGGCCGACAGTGGGATTCTTGGTAATATCGGATAATAGCCAGCACGTTACGTTTTCGTAAGATGACTGATACAGCATCTATAAAACCACGATTCCCTCTAAATGAGCTTTCAAATGAATCAGCGAATTAGAAGGGCGCCCGAGGCGTGGCGCGCACCAAGGCAAGGGATGTAGTGCAAGCGCATGCTCGGAGCTTTCTAGCACATCCTAAATTAAACATAAAATTGGTCTTCCAAGAAGTTACGGGCAGTGAAACCTAAGAAAACTCGCGTTTTCGAGAAAATGGCTTGAAGAATACCCCTCAAAATAAAAAGTAACAACGGGCTAATTTTTGAACTGCTGATCTTTCAGAAACGCTTGGGTGCTCGTTAGAAAGCTTGAAACCTGTAGTTTATTATACCGTGTTCAGCTTCCCAAATGAATGACTTTGAAGGAAGTTATGATCGTTTGAAGGTCAAAAAGTCGCGGTTCCAAAAAAATAGTAACGCAAACCCCCAAAAAAGTAACAACGGGACTAATTTTTGAACTACTGATCTTTCAGGAACGCTTGGGTGCTCCTTAGAAAGCTTGAATCCTGTAGTTTATTATACGTGTTCAGCTTCCCAAATGAAGTGACTTTGAAAGAAGTTATGATCATTTGAAGGTCAAAAAGTCGCTTTGCACAGAAAAAAGTAACAACGTACTAAATTTTTATTAAATTAACTTTCGAAGAATTTTTACCCATGGTTGGAGAGAGAATAATTTGAATTTTCCAAATCAAATCACTTCGGCGCAGAAGCTCGAATATGAAGGAAGTTATAGCCTTAGAAAGAGGGGTGTAAAAATTGTGTTGCAATTGAAGAACGTGAAGGATTTCAGTATTTCAATTGGAGCGATAATTTTTTCTGACTTCTCATAAGTTTTTATCAGGTAATTGTCAATATTCCGGTCACTGGTTCAGTTTATTTCATCTCCTAGTTTGGTAACCCTTTGGAGTACACGGATATCTTTGAATGCATCTCATTTTTTCGTTTGCAAGCAGCGATGAATATCTGTCGTGGATTTTGCTAAAGTTTCATCTTTGATGACTTACGTAGAAATAAATATTGATGGTAAACACTGTCTCTACACAAGTGTTACATACAAAGGGGGGTCGTATCAAATCACCCCTGAAGGGGGGGGTCGTAAAAAATTTCCAAGAGTAACAACGATAGGGTTGACCCTGCTTGGACGTACATCATACATAATTCGACGTTAATCTCTAGAGGCCCTCCGTTAGGCCCGTTGCCTACAGGCGACCGCGCATGCGCGTCCAGCCTTGTAACTCCCTTCCCCCCGTAACAGTTTCTAGCCCGATGAACACCGCCATTTTTGAAACCAAGGAAGAGGAGCTCGAGAATCGTGAACATATCGCCTCAACGAAATAGGGATTTTGCCTTCGCCGGTGTTTCAGCGCATACAGAAATTCCTTCTCACTCTCTGAATCTGATACAGAGATTCTCTTCCACCCCGTGTATATAAAAGAACTCCTACTAGAATAGAAATGAGCTATTTTTTTCGGAGGTTTGGAGAGTGTTCTCGAAAATGCTAGCTGTATTAACTTAGACAGATTTCTGCTCTATGCGGCACTATGTGCCACGATGTTACTGTGACACCTAATCAGACACTCGCTCAACAAAAAAAGCAAAAGTAAAAGTAAGAAGATACAGAAAGAATCGTCTATGTCGTAAGCCGCAGCGCGTGTCAACCCTTCTCACTTTTGAAGGCCAGCAAAGAAGCCTGCGCACATAGTTGCCGAAATATTGTAAAAACCTTCTCCCGTCCGAATTCTCCGAAAGCCAACTAACTTGAAATTTGTTCACGCGTTAGGACGCTCAGCAGTATTTCAACACGTTCCAGTTTGAAGTTGTTCCTCGCGGAGGAGATAGTGTGATACATACGTCTATGACAAGTTTCACGCGCATTTGCGCCATTTTCGATCGGCCCGACAATCTTCCCTGCCCCCATCCCCCAATAGGCTACTACTCTCCGAAGCTCACAGATTCCTTCATTTTGTACTATATTTTCTATTGAAGATTCGCTGGAGGGAGAGCGCCACATAGGCAGCGCGGCTTCCTGCCCAAAGGCCTCTTCCGTCTCGAACCGGGCTGTTTCGCACTTATAATTGGAGGTTCCGTATTAAACGATTCGTGCTGGGTGAGATAAGCTGACGCCCTTGTGCATCAGGCAAATAGCGCCCGCCAAATTGCACATGTCCAATGGCGATGAAAAGAGCAAAAACCTGCGCTGTCGCCAAGGTGTTTAGTACCACTTTATTCGATATTATCATTCAGATGTTCTTTCAACAAACGAGGGTATTTTAGTTACAATAGTTTGTGCTTAATTATGGTAAATCCAATTTGGACCTTAAAGTTGTAATGCTATGACTTCGGCTCTGGGCCATATACTGTTCGTTTATTTCTAGTGTGATTTGTAATTAGCCTCTGTTGAAGCAGGGATGTTTGCGAAGGGAGGCAGTCTAGCCGATGAACAAGCATTTTCTTTGAAAAAGGAAGGAGCTCGGCGAATGTAGAAATCGCCGGCTTAACAAAAGGGAATTTGCACATCGCGGGTGTGTTCACGCATACAGAATTGCTTCCCACTCCTTCTTAAGACGGTTATGCAGAGATCTCTTCTTTCCCAGCGTACAAAATGGCCTCTTACATAGAATATAGAGGATGGAGATTTTTGCGCGAGCGGGAGGTTGAGGGGTCCTCAAAAATTGCTAGTTGTATTAACTTAGACAGATTTATGCCCTATGCGGCACTATGTGCCTCGATGTTACTGGGACACCTGATCAGACACTCGCTCAACAAAAAAAGCAGAGTAAAAGTAAGAAGAGGACGAACTGAGTGCTGCAATGCTAACAACAACATTAGAAATGTCCCCTACCTCGTCAATGACAACTTCGACATTATCGCCTTTCCAAAGTCGGTCGTCATTCTGAAGCTTACTGTCCAATTTAATCTTGTATTCAAATCCAGAACAGCCTCCTCCGTCAACTTCAACACGTAATCGCTCACCAGGAGAAAGCACTTCCTGAACACATAAGTCAAAAAATAAAAAAAAAGGTGCTGTAAATGTTACCTTAAGCCGTTGAAGTGCCCTATCTGTGACCTTGACGTCCTCAGCTGTTAGCGGTTTAAGGGAACTGCTGCTTATGCAGAAATTACGAGACAACCGTGATGCACAATATACTACGACTCTGGATGAAAGTAGCATCCACGAATTGTCTACAAAAAGTAAGCAGTGGCACATTTTATTATGCACAAATACAAGTACAAGAAAAGCGTTCTTTCATCGCAATTTTCAATGTCATACGAGACTATTTGTAATATTTTATTGCATCGTAAACACTGGCCAATGCAAAGTGGCAGACTAGAGCATGGGCACAATAATTCATAAGAGTCCGGGCTTGAGAAATGCAACATCAAAAGTAAAATCACGTAATACAAAAAACATACAAATGACTGCATTGCACCATATACAATTTCGAGCACGTTTTAAAAATTGAAAGACGCTGGTGGTAATATGCTTGAAAACGTCACGGGTTATTCAGTGTAATCCGTTAGAAAGAAAAAATTAAAACTAAAGTGAAATTCATGAAGAGCACTCAGATTGGATGCGCTACAATTACGAACTCACCAACGGCTTAACTCCAAAAGGTTAGATAATCGCCCAAAGCACCAATTGAACAATTTATGACTTGTGTCCACCTTACAATCTAAAAAAGTTACACACCTCCTATCCTTATTCATGCTCCTGAGTGCGATAAAATGAGGAAAACTAAAGGGTGGAGGAATGCAGTTAACCTGAACAAAGTGATACCTTTCAATTACAAATGCCAATACTGCATAGACAACGAATCTGTTTAAGGCGGACATGTGATTCTGTAACAGTGAAAGTTTTGCACCACAAGTCACGTTCCTCTGTTAGCATTTTGTCACACTTAAAGCTGAACCCAAGAATTGACTTCGCACCCTCGAGTGAACGAACTACTTATGTTTAGCTGGAAAAGCTTGAAAACGAATGTTGTCTTTTTCTTATACGAACGTGCTGATAGTGAAATGCTTTTTCACTCTGGAGAGTAAAGGGTATGAGAAGGGATAGTAGAAGATCAAACAAACAAAATATAAAGCTAAAGCCTAAAATATAAAAATAAAGCAGAAAAATTAAAGCAATTAAAGCCATAAACACATCTGGAGATACGACATAATTCAAAAATGGCGGATAGCAGAACAAATAGCGGCAACATGTAGGAAGACCCCAAAAAAGCACCTTCAAGTACAATTTCTCAGGAGCTATCGCCTTGCAGAAGGAAGTGATGGACCAGGACTTGGCTGGTTAAGGCGCCGCCGTTGACGCTCAAAGCGTCTGCAAAGGTAGGAAATTCGATTCGATCGCATTCCTCTTTGAAGCCCTGATACCATTAATTCCCAAAAACCTGGTTTCTTCAAAAAACTGCTCCATTATAGATTCTCTCTCACATTTTCTTTAACACTTCCCCTTATAAAGTTCTCTTTATCGCCTATAACATCACTAGCGTTTAATCTCCACCAAATCTGTCACATCAGGTAGTCACCTCACGCATTCCGTCTTTTTGCTTTTGTATGAATCATCTAATTCGTTCTGTTCAACATCTCCTCACCAATTCTCACAACATCTTTCTCTAGCAACGCTCTTAAAAAACATCAGAATAGCTTAAAATACAGCAAAACTGATGTGACGCAAAACTTTAACGCCTAAAGATGACTGACCGTTCCATTCACTAACAGACGTGGCCGTGTATCGACCACGAGTTCCCACTGTGCGCTTTGCGCAGCATGTCAGCAGATCAACAAGCTCCTTGTCATGACATTCGCTTTCGACACATTCTATAACTTCAATAGCTAATTTTACATGAGTTGTCAACTTCTTGACTCACGTTTACCCTACATTCTTTAACAGAGATAGAAATATGGCATCCAATTCACGCATAGTACGCGATTCCCTTCGAATACTGTAACATTGATCTGTTAAGAATGTGCAAATTGTAAATAGCCTAAACCTAACCTCTGTGAATCTCGCTCTTCAATCAACGTTCGCTTTTGAGCATTAGAATTCAGAAAGGTAGAAAATAGAAAGTTTGCAGCTTATTTTTGTAGAAGCCCCGCAACTGTGCTTCTAACATGTTACTATGACCTGTCGCGCAAAATCCCTTACACCCCAACTGGCGAAAATAGGAGGAAAAGAGCAGTAGAAGAATTTGCAATGAGGTGTCGTCTGCAGCGCTTTCTTTTCACTTCCAACCTTACTAGATTTGAATGAATGGCATTTATTCTTCTTAAAGATTAAATACGTTCCCAAGTAATAACTTGTGCACAGCCCAACTTTTCCTTAGTTTTCGCAATTATTAGGTCGGTCCATAATTTTTGAGAACCTTTGGTGTTTTTCGACTTAATTACTTATCTTATTTCTCTGATGTATTTATTCAGCATAGTATACATCACCATTATTACCAACATATAACCAATGCGAGGGTGGGTATTCAGTGTCCCTCTTGTAGAATTTCATAGAGTTCTGATCGAAGAAATATTGGATGTCGATTTTGACTTTATGGTGATTCAAGTGAGATTTCTTCTCCAGAAGGTGATTGAGAGAGAGAGAGCGGATAGTCGTTCGTTGACGCAGGATTAGTGCTATAAGGCGGAGCTAAAAGAACTGACCGCCCGAGAGTCTCCAATTTTTTAGGAATTTTCTTAGCAAGGCGGGCTCGAACGACCTCAGAAAAATAGATTTTGTCTTCCTTTGCTTTCAAGTTGAAGGCGTTGCCATCAAGCTGTCAACGATTCTTCCCATCACTGACACTGGTATTAGTTGATGCCGGTCTTCAGCGCAAAGGCCCTCCCGTATTGCGCCAACGACTCAGGAAGTTCGAATTCAGAGGGAGTTGGGTTTTTACTGTCAGAACTCCCGAATCGTTTGAGCAAATCTACTGCGGCTCGTGGATTTGTTAGCACATTGCACCCAGTCCACATCACCAATGAGTATTATAGATGGTCATCCGAAGGAACTATAGGAAACCAACAGGAACTTGATGATGTCAGATTGGGTTGAGAACTGATTCGGGACTACAATTTTCCTTCGATCAGAACTCTATGAAAGTCCACAAGAGAGGCACTGAATACCCACCCTCGCATTGGCGATATGTTGTTAATAATAATGATGTATACTATGCTGGATAAGTAGATCAGAGAAATAAGATAAGTAATAAATCGAAAAACACCAAAGGTTCTCAAAAATTGTGGACCGACCTAATAGTTAATTTGATCTTTAGGCTGGTGTCAGAGTCCGCGATCCGTCGCAGGTTTCGCTGATTTTCGCGATTTGCGCGAAACCTGCGACGGATCGCAAAAATTGCAAGTGCCCCATTTGAACATTTGAAACACTGAATATGAAACAAGTGGAATCATGAGCAGTCGTCATTCAGCCATCACTATCAAGCAGAAGTGGCGGCAGGATTGGAGAACACCTTGCAGTATTGATCGGGCACTTGTGATTTCCGTGACCCGTCGCGTGAATCGCGCAAATCAGCGAAACCTGCGACGGATCGCGGACTCTGACACCAGCCTTAGGGGCGTTCAAGACTTACTTATGTTTCTACCCCTCTAAAAGAATTTATCAAGAACAGCAGGAAGGTAAGTCGTACTGTCAGAGAAAGCAACATTTTTTGATTATTTATCAAGTCCTGCTCAGCATCTAACTTTTCAAGTTCACCGCACCACTTTTACTTCACAACAACTTTCGGTTATATCGAGAAGAGCAAAACAATAGCCTTACCACTCCGTTCACTGCAATGAGCTGATCTCCTCGCCTCAAACCACCATGACGATCAGCAACACCACCTGGGATGATTCTGCAAGAAGGGACTGTGCAGAAGAGGAACACTATTAAAAAATTTATGCACAAACCTCGATATGTAAATGGGAGAGTTTTGTTCCTTTCCACCCATAACGTTGAATCCCAGGCCTTGATCGGTTTTTGGTAATTCGACTGTACGTGGGTGAGCCTGTCCTTCAGCAGCGGCAAATGCGGCAACGGTTGCTTTTGCAGTAGCAGAAGCCCGCACCTTAATGGGAGAACAGGACTGAATTTTTCTAGCAATTAAACATACACTACCACAAAATAATGCAAAAGATGAAACCTCTGGAGGCCCCTCCACATCCACTATTTCGTACACCGTTTCGTAAACCTCACGCACGGCATTGAAGAAGTCGGATTGAAGAATTCTTTGGAGAGAGGCCAACTCAGGTGAATTCACTTCTCCTGTTCCTTGTACATGCTCAATCAATTCTAAGATTCGATGAACATCTGAAACAGCCAAAATAGGCACAAATTAGTACAACAGGAATTAGAAAAGTACCCCTTTTCAAATTCGGTCCTTCACAGTTCCTCTCCATCTCACGATTGACGCCCTAATTCAACCTATCAGAAGAACCTCACACTTTGTCAGCTGCAATAATGCTAAAACAGAAATGAGGTAAGATCACAGAAAACAAACAGAAACAAGAACGCAGGTATTTCTTCGGAGAGGACAACGTTTTTGCTTGAAAACTGGCACCATGTTTTTGAAACCTATTAAAATTTATTTGTACAAAAAGAAAGACACATAAATAAAAATAACAACTATATCTCACTAACAAGATTGAAAGTTTTGGACATTTCAAATGGCACTACATTAAAAGTGAGTTTCCGCAATTCGATATCCTTCTTGTACTCATAAACGGTCATTTCAGGATTTGTCAAATCTGGATTAATTAGCTCTGTTGTTATCCGAACAACGCCGTCACATGCAGATCTCAGAACCTTCTCAGTTCGGTCGGATTCGAAGTACACCTAGAATTGAAACTATCAACCAGAGGTACCATCAGCAAATGAGACAAGTACTATACAGGAGGGCTGCAAG